GGCATTAAACAGGACATGGGAGATGGAGGAGCAGCCAGCTGCCAGCCTTTTATGTTTCTCCCATTGTGTTTTGTAGATTTGTCAATTTATTGGCCATTCCATCCAGCCCCTATTGGAGCAGTTGCTGCTGAATCGATATAAAGATAATTTTAGTTTGCTTGCATGTAAAATTTATTCAAATATTGATGGTTCTCTTCACAATATGGCCCACATAGATTTGTCAGGACAAGGCAGCCTATTTCTGAAAGCGATGGTTAAAATTAACTTCAGGATTTCAGAGCTGGACATGCATTTCTTGGAATAATTTTAGCACTTCAGGTTTAGAATCAGTAGCCCTGTTTGTAACTTAACCATGAGAAGAATTCAGTAATAAGCACCACAGCGCCTTGGCCGATGTTTAAAAGCTCTGTTTGTGCATTTCTAAGGCAGGGAGGAATGGAGGATGATCATCAGAAGAAGGCAAAATTCTCATTTGTATTTGGTGTCGCTGTGATTTCTCCTCCTATTGTCTCAGATCTGGTTCTTTTTTCCTCCATCCCTCCTTTTTCTTGGTCCATCCCCGTCGGAGGAGGAAGTTCTTTCCCAGGTTTGATGTGCCAGAGCCGTGGTGGGACAGCAGCACTCACAAAAGGCTGAGCCCACACTCCTGCCTTGCTCTTCCTTTTGAACTGAGGAGCTTGAGCTGTCTCAACAATCCGGATTTTCCACGCTGAACCTCCCCTGGGGCACTTGAGCCCATTTCCCCTCCATTCCCTGCTCTCCTCTGTGCTTTCCCTGCTCTCCTTAATGGTTTCCTCACTCTCCTCCATGGTTTCCTCACTCTCCTCCATGGTTTCCCTGCTCTCCTCCATGGTTTCCCCTCTCTCCTCCATGGTTTCCCTGCTCTCCTCCATGGTTTCCCCACTCTCCTCCATGGTTTCCCCGCTCTCCTCCATGGTTTCCCTGCTCTCCTCCATGGTTTCCCAGCTCCTGCTGGTGTCCCTGGAAGGGATGAGGGAGCCTGTGGGTGCCTGCTGGGCTCGGGCTGGTGTGGATCCTGTGCCTTGCACAGCTCATCTGCTGACCTGGGCACCACCCAGCCCTGCCCTGGCCCTTTCCTTCACTCCTGCCTGGCTCTGACCCACTCAGCCTTGCTTGGATCAGAGCAAGGATCCATCCTTGGATGGGAGAAGAGCTGATATTTGTTATTTATTTCAGCGTGATCCGCTTCCTGGGAATTTCTGACAGCATTAATTCCTTTTCTAGGCTTGAAGTCTGAACTCCTGTTTCGGGTTTTTCTCTGTTTGCCAGTGTCAGGAGTGGATGATCCCACTGGACAGGGTTTGGGATAATGGCTTTTCCAGCCCTTCCCGCTTCCAACACAGCCCTACAGACACAACCAGGGTTATGCTGCAGGTACTTCCCAAGTCTGACTAGACACAACCAGATTTGCTTTTTTTTTTTATTTCCATTTCCTTTTATATCTGGAAGAAATTCAAATGCATGAGAAGGAAAGAGAGACCTTTCAGTATTAGATGTCAGATTAGAAGCTTGAAATAGGTCTGGAGGGGAGGCAGCAGCACTTACACAGCTCCTTTTTCGAGGAAATCTCCTGGGAACAAGAGAGATCCTCACGCAGCATCACTCTGAAAGCAGAATTACCTTTTTTAGATGGCTGATGAAAGCAGATGTGATGGCTAAAAAACCCTCTCCCTCTCTCTCCAATCTTAATTAATAGCTGAACAAAGTTTATATGGAATTTCCCACCTCTCAAAGACACCTCTTTAAACCTTTGGGCAAATGCATTTTGAAGGTTTTTTTTGACCAACACTTAAAATATATTCTTACCTGTTTTTTCCCCCCAAGTCTTGGTTCCTTAAAGTGAAAATAATGAAAAAAAAGTGCTTTAACTCCTCAGCCCTTCAGGTGCCCTGCCCAGCACTGGGGCACAGAACTCCTGAGCTTCCTCGTGGCTGTTCATTTATTTGCCAAAGATCAAAAGGTCAGGCACTTCCAGCTCGGTGAAGCTTCCAGTGAATTACATCATGCATAAAAATTGGCTATTTCCAAGCTACCCAAGCTCTCCTGTGAGGATATCTTGCTCGCCTGAGCAGAAAACAGGCTGTGTTAGCAGCTTTTGTGAGCGATGTTCTCCGCGAGCACACGGGCCCTCCACGCGTCCCCTGGATCAGCCCCAGCTCCTCGCTGCAGCTCTGCCTCGGGGGCTTCCACAGGTTTTTATTCCCATTTCTTCCGCAGGAATCCCGGGGAAATGAGCACAGTAAGGGCCTCTGTTGAGCTGTGCTCACAAACTGGGTTTGAGGGTCCCCCGAAGTGCCCCAAACCTTCAGGAAAGACTGGACAGGCAGATTCAGAGAGTCATGGAAGTGCCAAGCTTGGGAAAGGCCTCCAAGATGATCAAATTCCACCTTCAGTCAAATCCCACCATGCCCACTGACCCGAAACACAAAGCTCTGATGCTTTTGAGCACCTCCAGCCATGGGGACTGGCAGCCCCTTCCAAGGCCTGAGCACCCCTTCCGTGGAGAAATCTCTCCTCATATCCCGCCTGAACCTCCCCTGGGGCACTTGAGCCCATTTCCCCTCCATTCCCTGCTCTCCTCTGTGCTTTTCCTGCTCTTCTCCATGGTTTCCCTGCTCTCCTCCATGGTTTCCCCACTCTCCTCCATGGTTTCCCTGCTCTCCTCCATGGTTTCCCCTCATCTCCTCCATGGTTTCCCCTCAGCCCTCCATGGTTTCCCTGCTCTCCTCCATGGTTTCCCCTCTCTCCTCCATGGTTTCCCAGCTCTCCTCCATGGTTTCCCCTCCCCTCCATGGTTTCCCCACTCCTCCGTGTGAGGTTTGTGGTGTTTGGCTAACCCAGCCCGAGAGCACAGCCTGTTCCTGGCCGTGTTTAGGCAAGGCTGAGGATCGTGGATTGGGAATCTGATCATCTCCAAATTCCAGTTATTGCAAAGCTGGAAATGCACAGGCAATGGCACCAGCCAATGCTGAGGGAGAACGTGTGTGGGAAAATGCAGTGGAAATGGAGGTGCTGTGGGATCAGGCCTGAAGCAGGAAGGGTTCCAAACATCTTCTCTCAGGGATGGCTTTCCTAAACCTCCCAGCTGGACACTGGGGCTTGGAGCAGCCTGGGACAGGAAGGTGTCCCTGTCCAGGGCAGGGCTGGATCAGCTTTAAGGTCCCTTCCCATCCAGGCCATGCTGTTATTTCTGATTCTATGTCATATTGCAAAACCCTCCTGCTTTTTGCAAATTCCGTCCTGAATCTAGAAAATAATTCTAAATGAGTCTATTAAAAAATTAATTCTGATCTATTTTAAAAGGAAAAATGAGACTTAACGTGAAAACATTTTGAACCATAGCAACAGCATTAAAATTATTTTTTGAGGGGGATCTTTTACAACTTAACTCGATCCCTATTTTCTATTTTTAACCTTTAATCAGAGCTTCTGGCTTGTTGGGAAATACAATAAATCTTTCTATCTCCAAAGCTTTTAAAGTGTTCACCGTGCCTGCTGTTCTCTTTCTGACAGGAGATTATCCTTTTGAGTTAGAAATTTTCTATTATTTGTGTCCGAAACGGTTGAAAGTCAAAGTGGGGGCTCAGGTCCCATTAAGAGCAGCCCTAATGAAGGTGTGGGATGTGTGGAGGTTTTTCCAGGCAGGGACATTCTCCAGCCCCACTGCTGGGAGAAAGTCCCCACTTTGTCCTTTGCTTTTCTTTTCTGGCTCCAGCCCTGCTGTCCTCACATAGCCCTGTCACAGGTCCAAACCTGGGCTAGTTTTCCCCACCCTGGGCTGCCCAGCCGGTCAGAGGTGCCTTCAGCCAGCTTTAACCTGTCCTGGGTGTCCCTGGGCATGGGAGAGGAGCTGAGCTGGATCCCAGGAGCTGAGCCAGCTCTGTGCTCAGCTGGAGCTGCCCCACAGCTGAGCCGTGGGGATTCCACGGGACCACAGCATGGTGGAGAAGACATCCCAGATCATCAGTCCCAAGCTTCACCCAAACCCCACCACGCCAAATAAAGCCCATCACAACATTCCACCTCTGCTTCCAGGGCTGGGGGCTCTGACAGTGCCCTGGGCACGTGTTTCAGGGAAGAAATTGCTCCCAATATCCAGCCTGAACCCCTCCTGGAACAACTTGAGGCCATTTCCTGTTCTCATTTTGCTCGATCCGGGAGAAGAGGCCAACAAACTCATTAACTCCTCCCTAGTTTATTATTGATATAAATGTTTCAGATCATTCTGAGTCATTAATTTTAAGGCATCGAATCCCAAGGTCTCCTGCCTGACTTTTTCTGCTTGTTATTTCCTATCTGCTCAAAAGTTGCTCCAGGACTTGGGTTCCTTCTTTCTTCCTCTTCCCCTTTTGAAATTAATCACTCGTGTGTTCCAGTCCATTGGATGCTCACAGGAGCACAAGGAAGGGGCTCAAAGCCCAGCCCTGCAGCTGCAGAAGGGTTCATCCAGCACCATTTTCCATGGCTGGAAGTGGGAAGGTGAAGCTGCTGGAGCCAAGCTCTGGGATGGGGACTGGCATGTGGGAATGGATGTGCTGATGGGGGAAACTTCATCCAGGTAATCCCTTGTGTTGCTGCTTTATCGCCTGAGAAATATTTCTTTTGGGATGGCTGTTTTGTTCTGGAGAGCTGGATGTGAATAATGTGTTTATCAGGGCATTTCAAAGCATTTATTAGGGTATTTCAGTGCGTTTCAGGATATTTTCAATGCATTTTTAGGGTGTTTCAAGGCCAGGGCTGAGGCACTCCCTCGCTCTCTCCAAATGAAGGGAATCAGATCCAACAGCTCCTACTGTGAAAACTTCGTGAAGCTGCTGCAGCTAAAGGAGGAGATTGTAATCCTTGATTGACCAGGACTGTGGGGGAGTGGGAGGACAAGAGGCCCTGGAGCTGCCCTCTTGAGCCACATTTATTAAATCAGCTCTGTAGCCTGGAAATTCCCATGGATGCTTCATATTCCCTGATTTTGTTAATGTTGCTTTTAAATTTAGCTTTAAATTCTTGTAACTGTCAAGATTTGCTTACGGCTATTGAGCACATGTGAATTAATTTCAGACAATTGCCTTAAAAGTAGGAAAACACAGTATTTGTGCAAGGCTTCTACAATATTTTGTTCTGAACTTAAAAGTCTTCCTGTTTCATACAAACCACCAACAATTTGAGTGAGTAATTCTCCTAAAAATAACTCCTACCTGAGGGGAAAATGACTCACCTTTTATGTGAGTCAGCCCGTGGACTTGAGGACCCCCAGGATTTCTTTCTAGCAGAGGTGGGACTGTCACATTCCTGGGAAGATGAGGAAACAATCCCAGCCTGGAGTGGGCTGGAAGGGAACTGAGGGGCTGGAGAGGAGCTCCAGCAGTGCCCAGGGCCAGGCTGGATGGGGCTGGGAGCAGCCTGGGGCACTGGGAGCCCCCTGCCCGTGGCACTCGGTGATCTCCAAGGTCCTTTCCAGCCCAAACCAGGCTGAGATTCTGGATTTTATCAAAGTGCAGGAGTCCAGACCCACGGCTCCCTTGGACAGCTCCAACACTCCCTCTCCCGTGGTGGTGCAGTGCCCATCCCTGGAGGTGTCTGGAGTGCCAGAGGTGGCACTCAGTGCCCTGGGCTGGGGACACGGTGGGGATGAGGCACTGCTGGGACTGGATTATCTCAGAGATCTTTTGCAACCTTTATGATTCAGGAATTCTGTGATTCCCTGCTCCTCCCAGCCTTGCTCTCCTGCCATCACCCTTTCAGCTGCAGTACCAATGGCCCTTTATTCCTTCCCTCTGCTTTTTAGTCCATGAATTCCCTCTGTAATTCTCTGAAATGCAGCTCCTCTTTTCAGTGCAGCTCTTCCTCACAGTGTCCCCAGTGAGCAGTACCCCAAACTCTGTTCCCCCAGGGTGAAGCAGCTGGTGCTCGGTGTTGGGGGAGCTGGGGGGGCTCAGTGGCCTCTGCTCAGGGCTGGTCCCACCCCAGCTCTGCAGACCCTGAGGGAAGCAGGAGCACTGTTCCTGTCAGGACCCTGAGGGAAGCAGGCCCACTGTTCCTGTCAGGACCCTGAGGGAAGCAGGCCCAATGTTCCTGTCAGGACCCTGAGGGAAGCAGGAGCACTGTTCCTGTCAGGACCCCAGACCCTGAGGGAAGCAGGAGCACTGTTCCTGTCAGGACCCTGAGGGAAGCAGGAGCACTGTTCCTGTCAGGACCCTGAGGGAAGCAGGCCCACTGTTCCTGTCAGGACCCCAGACCCTGAGGGAAGCAGGCCCACTGTTCCTGTCAGGACCCTGGAGCCAGGCCCGTTTCCCTCAGGAATGGCTTTGTGGCAGTGCCCCAAGCTCCTGCTCCCCACAGCCCCCAGCTGCTCTCCATGCAGGACCCACGGGGCTCACAAAGGTGTCCACACGCTCCGAACCTCCTGAGCTGGAAATCCCACCGGAGCAGAGCCTGCCTCACGGTTTCTGCAGAGCCTGCCTCACGGTTTCTGCAGAGCCTGCCTCACGGTTTCTGCCGCTCCCTGCTCCCCATCCTGATGGCCAATTGCCTCGGGAAGAGCCTCTGGCGCTGGGCTCAGGGACCTGCCCGATTCCTGTCCCTGTCCTGGCGGTGCCCAGGGTGGGGAAATGGGACTCGGGGCTGAATCCCAAACAGCCTGTCTGGAGCTGCTGCTGCTGGGCCGAGCTCTCCGGCTGTGCTTTCCCAGCCCCGGCCTTTCCCGTGGCTGTGTCCATGGCACTCGGAGAGGGGCTGGCTCTGCTCCCTCCTGCTGCTGCTGTGTCCCACACTCCAGCGTGGGATCGACACTGTCAAAAACAATACTTATAACAGACACCGTGGGGATTTTCCTGCTGTGGCCTCAGACGAGCTCGGGTCAGCACAGACCCCCTTGGCTGCAGTCCTGGCTGTGGTTGCTGATCACAGATATTCCCACACACACCACGGACCCACCACCTCCTCATAAACAGAACAGCTTCTTTGAAAAGGTTTGGCTTTCGCCTCCTGGCCAAAAAAAAAGGTTTTTTTTCCAGCTGTCTCCTGAGGTGTGAACCACAGTGGCCTGAGTGATGGGGCTGCACGAGTTGCTCAAGGATATTTTGTGTTGAGCGGTGTCCAGATGGATTTAATGACACCTGAAGAGCTGTTCCTGCCTGGCTGAGTGCTCCAACCCCACCGAGTATCAGAGAAACCTGATGTGTGACAAGTGGTATTTAAAGGAATTGTGATCCTGGGGTTTATTTGCCACGGATCAGTTTAATTAGGAATGGCATTGTGCTGATTGGAAGCTGTGCTCTGAAGGACTCGTTCACTTTGGTTTGGATGTTAGAAATGCGTAGAATTCCCCAAGGAATGCCCTGCATTTGGAATGAGCTAATCCTGCCGGTGTAACAACCACTGCCTTGGCAGAGCAGGGGGAACGCTTGGATCCCTGGTCTGGGAGGGCTTTTCCAACTGAAAGCATTCCAGGTTTCTGTGAAGATGAACTCTCTCATCCTGGCTGTTAGGGGAAGATTTCCCCGAGCTCACCCTGAGGATGTTTAAGGCAGAGGTGGCTGGAGCTGACAGTTCATTAACAATGAATGGCACGGGCTAAGCTGACATCGCCCAATGGGCCATTAAGCAAAACTGCTGCCAGCAGCTTTAAACTCTCCTGCCTTAAGTGACATATCCAAACTAGGAGCTTGGAGCTCGGGAATAAAGCAATTCCTGGAAGAATGCACTGGAAGAGCGGCAGATTTTTCCTGAATTGCAGATTTTTCCACGGAACTGTTCCTCAGCGCAGCCACAGCAACACTTTACAAAGCACAGCTCTGTGTCATATCCCAAAAGTTCATTTTTTATCCAAACATCAGCACTTTTTCGGGGTGTTGGTGGCTGCCCCTGGACCCCTGGCAGTGCCCAAGGCCAGGCTGGAGCAGGCTGGGACAGGGGAAGGTGTCCCTGGATGGGCTTTAAGGTCCCTTCCCACCCAAACCATGTGGGATTCTGCAGTCCTGGGAAAAGATGCTCCCTGGAAAACAGGAGTTCTCTCCTGGCACCGAGTTCAGGGCTCAGGAGCTGCAGCCCCAGGTGGGTGAGGAGCAGCTTCCCCTTCTCCCTCAGCTCCTGTTCACCTGCAGGAGGAGTCAGGGACAGCCTGGTGTCTGTCCAATCCCCTCTGCAGTGCACGTATCAGCAGGCAGGGAGGGAAATCCTCATTGGAATGAGAGGGTTGATAGCAGAAATAATGAGACTGGAATTTAAAATTCCAGGTTTCAATTCCAGCATGGGACTGGAAGTTTGGGAAAAGCAGCCAAAGGTGTGTTTGTGTCCTGGGCTCTGCCTGGGTGGGTCCCTGGGGATGCAGAGAGGGGCTGGGGGTGTTTGTGCTCCCCTTAACAAAGGACTGGATGTGCTGGGGCAGTTTCACCCTGTCCCCTGTGCCACAGGGAGGGCAGAGCCTCAGGAATGACATGGAGGAGCCCCCTCAGTGGGGCTGAGGTTCAGAACATGGAGCTCTGATCCCAATCTCCAATTCAGCATTACAACCCAACACTAAAACAACACTTCCAGAAAAAAGGCAAACCTCCAATTCTTTCAGTCTGAAGTCTGCAGAGCACGCTGAGAACAGGCACGGGGGATTTGGGAGGGGCTGGAGTTTGTTTTTGGTTTGTGCTGGTGACAAAGCTGTTGAAGTTTTCAATGTCACTCGGAATACTTTAAACACAATTAATCAATACCTTAATGACAGCTGCCCCTTTGTGCATGCCGAGATAATTGGGTTGAAATTCCCCAGCTGTCAGGTGCAGATGTCCCTCCCAGAGCTGGGAAGGAAGAGGGAGAGGAGCTGTGATTCCCCAGAGTGGGAATGGGGCACTGGGAGCTCCGTTCCCAAAATAAGGGTTTGTCTCAGGTGTATCTGCCGTTCTATATAACAGAGTTTATTCATATATCATGGGACATGGGACAGTGGGAATGGTTCCCAGTGCCTGAGAGCAGGGCTGGATGGGATTTTGGGCAGGAATTGTTCCTGGCAGGGTGGGCAGGCCCTGGCACAGGTGCCCAGAGCAGCTGGGGCTGCCCCTGGATCCCTTTGGGAGTTTAATGAGGCTGTGCAGGGCCAGGAGCTCCACGCTGCTGTGGGAAGAGTGATTTGGTGGAGATCTGACTCTTCCTTGGCTTCTTTCTGTGCCTCTAAAGCCTGAGCTCAGTAATCAGGGTGGCTTTAATTTGATATCCACCACTTGTGGCTGTGCTGATCGATATTGGTAATATCTGTTCGTAGGGAGATGTTCCAGGAGCCGGAGCATTTGTTCCACGCTCAGCCTAAGCCAGCACTGCAATTTTGTGTGGGGATTAGTTTGAGGCTCGAGCTACACAATATTTTCCAAAGCCCAGCTCTCCGGAGCGTTCATTGCCTTCAGCCTGATATTGATCGTTATTTTTATCATTATTATCCTGGGCTGGAAACCTCAGCTCCTGGAGCCTCTGCTCGGGTCAGCCCAGAGCAGCTGTGATGGAGAGCTGGGAGCAGGACCTTGGAGAGAGGGAGCAGGACATTGGAGAGAGGGATCAGGACACTGAGAGTGGGATCAGGACACTGAGAGTGGGATCAGGACACTGCAGAGTGGGATCAGGACACTGGAGAGGGGATCAGGACACTGCAGAGTGGGATCAGGGCACTGGAGAGTGGGATCAGGACACTGCAGAGTGGGATCAGGACACGGGAGAGAGGATCAGGACACTGGAGAGTGGGATCAGGACACTGAGAGGGGGATCAGGACACTGCAGAGGGGGATCAGAACTTTGGAGAGGGGAATCAGGACACTGGAGAGGGGATCAGGACACTGCAGAGTGGGATCAGAACACTGGAGAGAGGGATCAGGACACTGAGAGTGGGATCAGAACTTTGGAGAGGGGAATCAGGACCTTGGAGAGCTGCTCGGGGAGAGAGAGGGCTCTGCTCCATCCCAATGGGAATGTGAGTGTCACGGGCAGGTTTTCCCTGTTCCCTGCTCCATCCCAATGGGAATGTGAATGTCACAGACAGGTTTTCCCTGCTCCATCCCAGTGGGAATGTGAGTGTCACAGGCAGGTTTTCCCTACTCCATCCCAGTGGGAATGTGAGTGTCACAGACAGGTTTTCCCTACTCCATCCCAGTGGGAATGTGAGTGTCACAGGCAGGTTTTCCCTGTTCCCTGCTCCATCCCAGCAGGAATGTGAGTGTCACGGGCAGGTTTTCCCTGCTCCATCCCAGTGGGAATGTGAGTGTCACAGGCAGGTTTTCCCTGCTCCATCCCAGCAGGAATGTGAGTGTCACGGGCAGGTTTTCCCTGTTCTATCCCAATGGGAATGTGAGTGTCACGGGCAGGTTTTCCCTGCTCCATCCCAGCAGGAATGTGAGTGTCACGGGCAGGTTTTCCCTGTTCTATCCCAATGGGAATGTGAGTGTCACGGGCAGGTTTTCCCTGCTCCATCCCAATGGGAATGTGAGTGTCACAGGCAGGTTTTCCCTGCTCCATCTGCACACATGCAGGCTTTGGCAGGGTCACTGCTCCCCATCCCACCTACGGTGGCCCAGGCTGCAGAAACCACCCCAAAATGGAATTTCTCTGCCGAATAAATAATTGTGCTGCACTGAACAGTTACACTGGAACTGGAATGTTTCAGCAGAAGTGTCCTTTACTTAGAGGAATTGGTTTTTCAATTAGGAAATTTGCTTCTCCTTGCCCTAAATGATAGAAAGGAAATATCGGTGCCGAGGGATAAATTCAGGTAATGGCACTGTAAATCCCCAGGCCTGTGGCAGTCAATAAGGTGAAGGAGGTTTTTAGGTTATTTCCAGCCCAGGTGATCTGACAAAAAACTGCTCTGCAAGTTACCCAGCACCTTTTCTGGGAGGTCTTGCAGGATTTTTGTGCTTGGCTTAGTACTGACAATTAAAGCTGGTCTAGAGCAATTATTTCTGGGTTTCCTTTAGAACGTGAAATCCTTACTAGGGCAATTCAGGAAAGAATATTATTTAATCCTGTGATATCTGAGAGGAATAAGAGGGTTTCACTGGGAGGTTTGGGGCACGGGTTTCAGGTGAACACCATTTGCTGCCAGTTCACAATCACAAGGAAAGCTCAGCACCGTGGTGCCACACAGTCCTTAAAATGCCCCAAGTTTGTGGGAAAAAACTGTTTCTGATGTGTCCCCATTGCAGTGGTGGCTGTAAGGGGAATAAAACTGGTAAGGTTTGTTCAGAGGTTGGTAACTGGAAATGCTGCCATGGCAGGGGGATTTGCAGCTGCTTATGAAACCTCTGGGGGCCAGGAAAACACTTCCAGTGAGGGAGAAGGCTGGGATGATGATCCCATGGGAATCGTGGGAATTGCACACTGGGGCTGAGCTGGGTCAGACAAATGAGTCAGAAAAGCTTTGGCTGGGGGTCTGTCCAGCCCCCTTACATCCAATTGTTTAAAGTTCATCAAGTTTCAACAGCAATTACAATAATTATGACACAGCCACACATCTCTGCTGCTGGCTGCAGACCATCCACGCTCATCCCATTACCATTCAAATGAAGGTAATTTGAATTTGGCGTTCTAATGCAGGTAAATAAAAGGAACACCCGTGTTAGGTGGCAGCCCCTGCTTGTTTTTAATGGGACTGGCAATTACGGAGATGGATGGCTTTGTAGCAGAAGGGTTGGGCTGAGGGGCTGTGAAATGAAGGCTGGGGATGATGGATGCTGAGGCCTGAGCTGGCTCTTTTCTTCCTGCACCAGCAGCTGCCACAGCTCCTGCCCCTGCAGCCTCCGGGAGGACGGGGAAACCCAGAGCTCCCTCCTTCTCAGCTGGGCTCAGCTGCCCCGTGCTCAGCAGGGCTGCTCTGAAGGACAGGTTGTCGCTGTCACCCAGCCCTGTCCATGTCCCTTTGGACGTGTTTTCCTTCGGAGCCCGTGGTTGTCCCAAACCACCCTGACCTGGCACAGGTGCCCAGAGCAGCTGGGGCTGCCCCTGGATCCCTGGCAGTGCCCAAGGCCAGGCTGGACATTGGGGCTGGAGCAGCTGGGACAGGGGAAGTTGTCCCTGCCATGGCTGGGGTGGGATGGGGGGGATTTGGGGTCCCTCCCCACCCAAGCCAGGCTGGGATTCCCTGACTCTCTTTGTCCCCAGGCTTTCCCAGGCTGTGCATTCCAGTTCCACTCTCAACACCTGGCTGAGTTTGGCAGGGCAGGGCCTCAGATCCAGATCAGAGGATCTCAGATCCAGGCTGCTGCCCTGTTCCAGAGCGAGGACACAGCTCCAAACAACAGAGCTCCAGGGATTTCCTGCCCTGAGTTCAAGCAACCCAGGCCATGTGGGGCAAGCCCCATCCCTCATTCCCATGCTCTGCTCTTCCCTTCATGCAGCTCCAGCCCACCTGGGGTTTGGGCCAGGGTATTTGGGCTCAGCACATCTGGGCTGGAACTGGTTAAACCCTGCCTAACTCAGAAAACCCAACTGGAGAGAGAAGAACTCTCACTTAGAGAGAGTTGGGGAAAAGTAAATATTGTAGAGTGTGGGGACCTCACCTGTATAGTGTGTAGGGCTGGGGAATCCATTTAAATGATGAATTATTTAATATTAACGCCCCCCTCGCCCTATGAGCAGCAGAAGTGGGTAATGTATAGCACAGGCACAGACTCTGCCTTCCCCTGCAGCCACAACTGCCAGGCTTTATTTATTGCCAATATCATCAGCAATGTCCTGAGCCTGCGTGAGGCTGCTGCTCACAAACCACCAGAATGTTTCTCCATGAAATAGAAGATGGATAAAAAGGATCTTTATCCTGTCAGTTTGATGAATAATTACAGGATAGGAGCGACTAAAGAGCTGTGCTTGATGCAGGTTTCACCATCAGAGTTAGGGCTGACAGAGAAATGGGGTTTTTTACTACATTAACAAAAGCTGTGTTTACAATCCAAAAATTGACTGGATGGCCCCAGTCCTTTAGAGGGGTATTAATGCACATTTAATTCAAATATATGGCATTGATCTGGGTTGTGCTGAATATAATGGAGCTTCCAGCACAGTGGGCCCCTCCAAAAGCCTCCGACTGCAAATATTTGCCTGACTCCAGGCTTTCTCAGTCTGTTTTCCTGCAATTAATGCCATCTATGAGCTTCCCTCGGCACGAGGGCTGTCACTGGAAATCAGTGCCTGTGATGAAGCTGTGCCACTCCAGGAGAGGTCCCTTTGGGCCACATCTCCAGCCCTGTGCTGTGTCCGTGTGAGTTTTCCTGGAGTTCCTCTGCCTGGGATTTGCACCCCCGAAGGAGCCAGCCGTGAGGTTAATCCTGGAAATGAGTGTGTTAATCCTGGAAATGAGTGTGTTAATCCTGGAAATGAGTGTGTTAATCCTGGAAATGAGTGTGTTTGTTAATCCTGGAAATGAGTGTGTTAATCCTGGAAATGAGTGTGTTAATCCTGGAAATGAGTGTGTTAATCCTGGAAATGAGTGTGTTAATCCTGGAAATGAGTGTGTGCCTGGAATCACTCCTGTGGGGAAGGGCTCTGTGGTCAGGGAGTGAAACTCCACTGATTTATCCCTGGGGATGGGACAAGGGGGCACAGCCTTCAGCTGAAGGAGGGTGCAGAGCCTGGATCAGGAAAAATCCCTCCCTGGGAGGGTGGGGGGCCCTGGCAGGGAGCAGGATGCTCAAGGGATGCTGCTGGGATCAGCCTGGGACACTGGGAGCCCCAGGGCTGTCCCTTTGGTGTTCCTGAGCGCTCTGATCCACCAGCTCTTGCTGAGGGAACAAAATCTGCCATCAGCAGATGAGAGGGAACACGGGCAGAATGTCCCCAGCAAAGCCTTCAGGATGAGGTGGACTCAGTGCTCGGTGCCTCCTCACTCTTTGAAGAACATTTAGTTTGGAATTTAGCCCAGAAAGTGCATCTGCCCCAGCAATTTACACCTCATTGGCTACGCCTAAGGAGGGAGGAAATGAAGGTGATTAATT